GCCGCAAATCTTATATTATTCAGTAGTAGCCAGCCCGAATTCTCCGAGATACTTAAGTCATGTTTCCGTAAAATAAAAAAAAATATCTACGACCTGCTCATGTTAACTGTGTATTTTACCTTGTTAATGACGATGGAAAAGTTGTTATCCAAAACGCTGGTCTCAGGGTCCCTGCTCGGGCGCCACTTGTAATGAACCTACTTTTTCCTAGCCGGGGTAGTTCTCAGCCTAGTCCAAGGTCTTACAAGAAAATTTCTATTCGCGGGGACCCAGCGTTCAACTAATGTCGTTTCTACCGTTGAAGTAAGATGTCGTAACAAAGTAATTATTTTCGAATTCAAGTTTTTTTTTCCTTTATTAAACAATTGGTAATATATGTATAACAATCAATGTATTTTAAATAAAAAAAACAATTTATCAAATAATATCTTTACAATTACTCATAAATAATAATAATCAACTAATATTTAACTGATTTCAATTTTATTGAACAATTTGTATTTTTAAATAAAAAAACCAATTTATCAAATACTGTCTTTACAAGTACTCGTAGTTAATAATAATCAAATAATATTTAACTGATTTCAATTTTTATTGAACAATTTGTATTTTTAAATAAAAAAAAAAACCAATTTATCAAATACTGTCTTTACAAGTACTCGTAGTTAATAATAATCAAATAATATTTAACTGATTTCAATTTTTATTGAACAATTTGTATTTTTGAATAAAAAAAAACCAATTTTCCAAATAATGTCTTTGCAATTACTCGTAAATAATAATAATCAAATAATATTTAACTGATTTCAATTTTATTGAACAATTTGTATTTTAAATAAAAACCCAATTTTTCAAATAATGTCTTTACAATTACTCGTAGTTAATACTAATCAAATAATATTTAACTGATTTCAATTTGTATTGAACAATTTGTATTTTAAATAAAAAAAACAATTTTTCAAATAATGTCTTTATAATTACTCGTAGTTAATAATAATCAAATAATATTAATTAATCATGTTTTAAGTTTCACGTTTATAAATGCCTTCTTTGTGTTCATTTACATACAACAAAATTTATAAAAAAAAACTCATAAAATGTTTTTAAATAAAAATATAAGGGAAGATTACTTTGATATTTCACTTAGAATTTTTATATAATATTTTTACATTCCTTAATTGTGGATTCAGTAATTAAATTTTTAATGTTACACTTTATAATTATTTGAGATTAAATTTGCATATTACAGAATAAAATTTTTTCCACAAATATCCTGTTTTCGGTTTAATTTCGAGTTTTATACATATTATTTGTTGACTTCTGTATTTTATATATATATATATATAAGCCTTACCCTCTCTGGTACATCAGGGCAGCTTACAATGTCCAACGTTGATTATCAGGAACCGCCAATCACCTTAAACTTTGCCACGTATCGGAGACAAAGAGACACCAAAGCCGCGCCACGTCGTTTGCTTATGGTGTCAACACGTTTATAATCTTCGAACGAGCACCAGTACAAAATCTTTTAGTTAACCACTGTTAAAGCCGTCAACTATTTCTTTTATACTGGGGCTATTATCACTATTATCCCGAGCACCAAAATAAATTTTATTAGTAAAAATCAAAGTTTTATTTTACACTTTTTGCTCTTAAGCAATTTTTAATTTTTTTCAAAAAAAATAATTAAAGTTGTAAATCCAAATTTAGTTTATAAATAATTTTTGAATTAATTATTTCTTTATATGGACAAAAACTGAGTAATTCACACCACCGGTACGTTGCGTTTCGTTTAACATAACCACGAGCCAAGAGACCGAAACTTCTCCGCTTGCGCCTTTTATTCTCCTTTTTTCCTAACTGCGTCGAGCGGACTTTTTTGCTAGCCGTTGTTCGGTCAATACCCTCAACATTTCCCCTCATCAGGTATTCTGTTGTAGACTTCTGAAAGCTCTAAATTACACTCGCAGCTTTTTTCTATTATCCGCTGCAATTTTTGGCGATCAACCGAAATGCACAAAGCAAATTAATAAATGACATTTCTCATTTTTCTATTTTGTTTTGATTATGCTTTGTTTTTAATAAAATGTGTTTCATGCGGTTCGGGAAAATAATTTAAATCTATTTTAATTAATATAGTTCGAACTATATTAATTAAAATCAATATTCGTCAGGGTATTTCAAGGTATGTATAGCATATGTTAGATATGTTGGAGTACATAACATCAAATTTTATTTAATTATAGTTATCTTTGACGTCAGCATTTTGGTGAAACGTGTGAAAATGTGAACGTGTGAAATGCGTATTGTGTGACTAAAATTTATTCAAAAAATTTAGTCGTCACAGGGTCCTCATGGGGCATCGATAGTAACGAACCAATTCTATGATAAGCTTGACCTTGAATTTTGAAAGTTGTTTCAACATTGAAATTGTTGTTACTTGAATTTTTAACTACATTTGTTGCTCCAAATGAAGTCATTTGAAAGCATGAATTAAATTTTCGAATTTTTTTCAAAAATAATTTTGACTCATATGTTATGCCAGCTATTAATGTTTTCAAGGGCTCGGGTGGTGGATTCAATGAAAGCAATACCACTTTTCCTGATGCGCAACATATTCCAGGTGTTTCATTTTTAAA